TTCAGTCTTGTGGGGTACGGGTGTGTGCAATCTGGGGTTATGCCGCAACAGGAATAGACTCCAATCACTGTCCTAGGATAGGGATTTTGCTTCTTTCGTTTCTTAGATTCTAGTATTGAACTGAATTTTTTGTTTTTGCAAGGGATGAGAACATGATTGGACAGTCGGTGTGTTCCATTTTTTGTATCTGGGGTATGTTGCTCGTATAATGAGAATGGGAAATGCAGAATGTGGGAAAAAATGACCAAGCAAAATGTAAAAAAATCCTACACGTTTATTTTTGTGCACCTAGATAAGTGTATAGTCAAAACTAATCCAGCTGAAGATTTTAGGTTTTTAGCACCGTTGCTCAATCGGCAGCTCAATTTTAAACTGTATACCCAAAGGAGAACATATATCTTGCAAGTGCGATGCAAGAATAATCGAGGCAAGCCTCGGAATAATAATGTGAGCGGAATTACAGAGTGCAAGAAAACGAAGCAAAGAATGTCAAGTCCATAGTTGCTGCTATTCCACGGTGGTCATAGTGGTTGGCATGCAGTATGTCGCTGGCTTTTCTCATACTGATTGACTAATTCTACTGGTTCACCCGATATGAAAGAAACGCAATCGAACACTAGAAAATGAGGAATTTAGAGAGATTCAAAAAATCAAAAAAGAAAAAAAAAAAATCAATGCAAAATGAAACTTTCAATGTGTAGACATGCAATCTCATGATCGGACCAAACTGGCACCGAGAGAAGCACGAAAAGTGACAGCCACACAAAAAGAGGAGAAACAGGGAGGCTCATCAAACATGCTAGACCAACAGTGGCCAGGACCGTCACATGCGTTGAATACATGTTAGTCTGGTTTGCGGACAGAAGGGCTGACGTCACGTGCGCAGCCTGTCTCCTATCTGATAAGGCACAGAGAGGTAATTGGAGCAACTGAGCACCGGACCAAAGGCAGAAAAAGAAAGGACCGAAATACCTCGACAAGGCAAACATGTATACAGACATAGAAGCATCTCGAGATACGAGTTGTAGAGTTCGCAAGCAAACCAACGAGAGAGCCAACCGAAGATGGCGAAGAGCAAAGAATCTAGCATTTGATTGCCAAATCAAGCCAAATCAAGCAAATCAAGCAAATCAAACACCTCTAAGTGGCTATAGGTGGCTCTGTAGCGGTCAATGGGATGTATGTGCACGTGCGTCGAGTCACATGTTCTGCCCTTCAGGATTTTCCGGAGCTCAGCAGGTTGGGTTGGGTTCAGGCGGAAACGAGTACGCAGCAGCTGGAACTTATGAATGCCAGACTTGCGTGTGCTTTCTTGCATGCCGCGTGGCCTGATGGAATTCCGGCAGAAGCTAGTGGCATCATCCTTGCTCAGATGGGTCGGTATACTCTAGAGACTATCTGGCGTGCACACAGGCTGCCCAACAATTTGGTGCGGCCCTTTCTTTTTCTGCCCGTTGATACAGGATACACTGTGCCCCTAGGGCTATGGCAGTAGGCCAAAACAAGCAAACCCAGAGGGGATTTTCTCATCACAAGAGTAATTGTAGCCCGGCGAAAAGGCGTCTGTCGCCTTGTAGTACGCGCAAGAAGTTTTCCCAAAAAAATTCGTGCAATTGTGTCTGTAGTGGCGTTATACCTGCGGCTGAGACGTGGACCCAATTTTTTCTTTTTCGCCTCGCCAGTCCTGTATAGTCGCACATATATATACGCCCCCAGTGCCAGCTTTCTGTTGCTGATCTCCCTTAGTACTCGAGCCATATCCAAAATGTCGTCTGATAACTTGGAAGCGGTCGATTTGACCTCGCTCAATGCTCTTGCTGCTGGATTCAACAAGAAAGCGCCCAGAATTGTCGCTGCGGGCTTGGGCGGAAAATTGATGGGCACAAAGTCTTTGGTGGATGTCACCGCAGACCAGATGACCAAGGACCTGGAAACTCTTCTCGAAAAGGACGAAAGAGAACGTGAGAAGTACATGCGTACCGCCCACATTTCCGAACAGCCTTGGACCTTGAGCAACTGGCACCAGCACGTGAACTGGTTGAACGTCATTCTTGTCATTCTCATCCCTGCCTTTGGCTGCTACTCGGCCTACCACTACCCACCTCAGTTGAAGACGGTGCTCTTGGGTGCCCTCATGTACCTCTTCTCTGGTGTTTCCATCACTGCAGGCTACCACAGACTATGGTCGCACAAGGCTTATGATGCTGCTGTGCCCGTGAGACTTTTCTTTGCCTTTTTCGGCGCCGGTGCTGTGCAAGGTTCCATCAAGTGGTGGGGCCACTCGCACAGAATCCACCACAGATTCACTGACACCAACAGAGACCCTTACGATGCCAGACAAGGTTTTTGGTTTTCGCACATGGGCTGGATGTTGAGCATTGCCAACCCTAAGAACAGAGCCAGAGCAGACATCTCTGACTTGACTGCTGACCCCATTGTTGTGTTCCAACATCGCCACTACTTGCTTCTCATGGTGACTGCCGCTGTGCTTTTCCCCTGCTTGATTGCTGGTCTTTTCTGGGGCGACTACTGGGGAGGTTTCATCTACGCAGGTATCTTGAAGTTCTTCTTCATTCAACAAGCCACTTTCTGCGTCAACTCTTTGGCCCACTGGATTGGTGTGCAACCTTTTGACGACAGAAGAACCCCAAGAGACCATGTCCTCACTGCATTGGTTACCTTTGGTGAAGGCTACCACAACTTCCATCACGAGTTCCCCTCTGACTACAGAAATGCCTTGAAGTGGTACCAATACGACCCAACCAAGGTTACCATTTGGTTATTGTCGAAGGTTGGCTTGGCCTGGAACTTGAAGACCTTCTCCCAAAACGCCATTGAGCAGGGCTTGTTCCAACAACAACAGAAGAAGTTGAACAGAATGAAGAACAAGTTGAACTGGGGCCCTGCCGTCAGTGAATTGCCTGTTTGGGACAAGGACCACTTCAACGAGATTGCCAAGGAAGAGGGCCTTATCATCATTTCGGGCATTGTTCACAATGTCAAGAGCTTCATTAAGGAACATCCTGGTGGACAGGCATTGGTGAGAGCTTCTTTGGGCAAGGATGCTACAAAGGCTTTCAACGGTTTGGTTTACGCACACTCTAACGCTGCTCACAATATGTTGGCTACGATGAGAGTTGCTGTGATCAAGGATGGAGAAGTCAATGGCGATACCTTTGGCTTGCAAGAAGAAATGATGGCCAAGAAGGATCTTTAGGCTGATTTTCGGACGGGCTAGTGTACCACTGGCCTGTATTCTAGGATATCAAAAGTATTGGGAAGGGGTGTGGCTGCGACCACTATGTTTTTCGTTGTTCACTATATAGCTATCAGAATTACGGATTTTGTGCATAACTTAGTTGTAGATTCGGCCGCAAGCGAAAAGGAAGAATAGCGCAGGTTCGATATTACGGATTTTACGTTGCCGTCGTCTGATCGGCAAATGGTTGCCACGTATATTATTCATCATTTGGGTCGAGACAGCACAATCTCGTGAAACAAACCTAAATGAGACGTCCGACCAATTCAGCGCAACAGGTGAAGAAGTAATAATGGATACAACATCTAACCACGACTACAAAATAATACTCTCACCTTTTCAAGCATCTCCAATAGTTTCCGTAATTGCCAGTTTCTCATTGGACTATCTTTTCTTAGCCGAGAAGAATAGCGTGGGCTCAGATGCGGATCTGCACAAATGCTAGTTCTAAGCGTACAACATGCCACTGAACCCATTTACGCGATCATCTATTCCTGTCCACAAACCATCGCTGCAGCTTGCAGCAGATTAGTGCAGCGGACACAGAATCCAGAAAGTCCGAAAGTGGGTGAAAAGAGCCTGCTGACACGGTTGCACAAAACCAATGTGTTTTTCCGACATCCCAGGCATGGCATAAAACTGCAAAGCGAACAAGGTTCCACAGTTCCTGTTGCCAGAGGTATATGCTCCGCAAAAGTCCAATCGTAAATTTTTCCGCGAAGTGGTGCCACCTCTCTGGCGTGGGCCCACCTGTAAGTCTGTTTCTGGTAATTCCTGGCTCAGGCAGCCTAACAGCATGGTATAAAAACCCACGTAAAGGAAGCAATTGTGAATTCATCATTGTGCCTTTCCAGCTTATTACCATGCCTATTCCAAGAACTTCCATTTTCCAAATCTACTCCAAGAGACTTCCATACCTTCTCCAATGGGGAACAGGAATGGCGTTTTTCTTGGGCTGGCCTCATGCATACATCGGTATCTCTAACAAGTTGAACAACGTTCCTCCAATCAACACCGCATACTTCTAAGTAATGCCTAACGACCTTCTACGCTATATTTAATACATGTTATATGGACAGATTGTAGATGCAACCTGCATGCGCGAGACATGAAGATACCCCAGGCTTCTGAGATGTTAATAAATGAAAGAAAAGAAGATAATCATTTTCCTCAACGAGCCATAATTAAGTGCTGATTCGTCTTGAAATGTTTGTGTGAACCCTCGGGACACCAAGCGTATGAAAACGGATTTTACTAGTCGTGAACGTTTTAGGCGAACCAGAGTCTCATCAAACAGTATCTTCCTCCACTAAGAGCTCCATACCTCCTTTGAGGTTCGGTTACTTTCTTGCTACTTATTCAGTGACATATTTCTAGCTTCAAAAATACAATTGAACTTGTGTTATCGCAAACAGCTCAAACTTCATTAGAAAAAATAAAAACTTCAATTGGCTTAATCTAACAATACGAACATCATAGCACATGTCGTCGTGAGAAAGTCTATAAACAATACATGTGCTCAAACACGGAAAGTGACTTTTCCCTTTGCAGAAACAAGCGCATTTCCGAGTTCGTCTACGCCGTGCTCGACCGAGATTTTCTCCACGCCAAGCACCCGCACCTGGAATTGGGCGTCGCCGCCCGAAACCTCGATGGTGTCGCCCGAGCGCGAAACCTTGACTTCGCCCGCATACGCGCCTAATTTCTTGCTGTCGGGAATTGGAACAACCACAGCGGCACCGTCAGCAATTTCGAAGATAGACACAATGAAATCCTTGAAGTAATCGTAATCTGGCTCTTCAGCGTCGTCTGGGCCCGTGACAATAGCTGAGCCTGCTTTAACAAGCAAAGGCAAAGACAGAAAACCGTGTTGTTCTTGCACCCAAGTGCCACTGCCAGAGCTCTCACGTACTTTTCCATCAAGCAAACCGTACCACTTGCCAGCAGGTAAGAAGAAGCTGACATCACCCTCTGCATTGAAAACAGGAGCGACCAATAATGCATCTCCAAGCATGTATTGAGTGTCAGCAGACTCTGCTGCAATGTTTTGTGGGAACTCAAGGAACATTGGTCTCAAAATCGGGACGCCGTGTTTGTGGGCCAAGATCGCATGGTGGTACAAATATGGCATCAAGCGCAACTTCAAGCGAGTGAAAAGCCGCAACACGTCGCTGGACTCGTCGTCAAAATTCCATGGGACTCGGTACAGCGAAGAGCCGTGGAGTCTCGAGTGCGAGCTCAACAAGCCAAAGGCGCACCACCGCTTGTAAACTGCCGGGTCTGGGGCCGTGCCTTCAAAGCCGCTAATGTCGTGGGACCAGAAACCGAAGCCGGCCAACCCAAGACTGAGGCCGCCGCGTAAAGTTTCGGCCATGGCCTCGAATGTAGACAAACAGTCACCGCCCCAATGGACAGGGAAACTCTGGCCGCCTACAGTGGCTGAACGAGCGAAAAGGCACGCCTGGTTTTTTCCAACACCTTCTTCAAGAACAGAAAACACCGCTTTGTTGTACAAAAACGTGTAATAATTGTGCATGGCCACAGGGTCCAGTCCATCGTGGTACATGACGTTGTTGCAAGGAATGCGCTCGCCAAAGTCGGTTTTGAATGAGTCGACACCCAAGTCAATCAACGAAGCCAAACACCGCTTGTACCAGTATACTGCTTGTGGGTTGGTGAAGTCGACAATGCCCATTCCTGCCTGCCACAAGTCAGTTTGGTACAGTGAACCATCCAAGTTTTTGATGAGATAACCGTTTTTTGTCAGCATCATCAAACAAAGAGGATTCTTGCGCAATGTATGGGTTGATCCACACGCAGATCTTGACACCAAACTTTTGTTTGATCTCGGCCAACATAGCTTTAGCGTCGAAGGAAGTTGTCCCTGGTCAAACTCAAAGTCGCACCACTGGAAGCCCTTCCATCCCAGAAACAGTCAAAGTGGAACGTGTGAAGAGGAATCTGGCGATCCTTCATGCCCTGCAAGAACAGCGATACGGTTTTCAAGTCGTAGTCAGTGGTGAACGACGTGGTTAACCAGAGCCCAAACGTCCATGGCGGAGGCAATGCTGGTTTTCCCGTCAAGCTCGTGTATCTATCCAAAACCTGCTTGAGATCGTCGCCGCCCACCACATAGAGTCTAATTCCCTCGCCTTCCACGGCGATGTTGACTCGGGTGGTGCGCTCACTCTGCACCTCGAACACTACGTTCAGGGCGCTGTCCACCAACACAGCGTATCCTCTGTTGGAAACGTACATTGGAATGGACTTGTATGCCCATTCGGACGAAGTTCCACCGTCTTCATTCCAAGTTTCGATGCGCTGGCCGTTTTTCACAAAGGGGCCAAACCGCTCGCCAAAGCCGTACAACTTCTCGCCCACGCCCACCTGGAGCTGCGCAGTCATGTACTTTTTCCCAAACCGAGCATCGTCGACCCAGCCAACAGAGCGGAAACCCAATTCTGTCAAGCGCTTGCCTGCGTGATTGAAGCGAACCCCAAACTTGGCTGCGTCTGACTCGGCAGTAGTGCTGCCTGACTCGACTGTAAAATGCTCCTTCGTGCTGGTGACTTTGGGTGCAAATTCTGCGTCTGGGTGCAAGTCGAAGCGTGGCTCGCGCGACCGCGCAAAACGAGATTTGTGGTGACACGCTTCGAAGCCAATCACGCCTTGCCGCGGTGAAAACAAGCGCGAAGTGATCAGCGGATTGTTCAAGGTGTCGCCTCTATTGCGAACAGGCAAAGTTGCTGCCACTTGGTGCACACCATTGTCACGCTGCTCCATTTTCACAACGTCATTGGCCCATCTGATAGTAATGCCATTTTTGTATTCCCACATTCCACGAGTGAAACGTGTGTCGGACTCGACATGTCTGTCGATGGAAGAGTGTTGCATGGTTGGAGAAAATGGCCTATCCTTCAAGTTCCTCGGCACATATATATGGATTGATTTTTCAATCTCGTGATTCGGGCCCAAATTCCCGCAGCTCATAAGGCGCAGTTCGTATTTGCTTCGGGCGAGTTTCCTAACTGGGAGGCGCGGTTCCTGTTTGGGGGATCTCAACGTGCGGCAGAACGTGGGTGCATGCAGCCCCAAATGTGGGGTGCATGCGCATCAGCCGTAGATTCCCCAGATTGGCATTGCAACATGTTCCAATTGGAGCTCTTTCCGGAGTCGGAGAAGAATGCAACGCTTGCTGATATTGGAGATCCGGTCTTTCATTTCCAATACAGGAATCTCTCCCTCAAGAGGCTCGCGATCATTTCCAGAATGACACATTCTGCGGGGTCTCTTTGCTGTCTCGATTATTTTTTCCTCTCAGGACTGTTAACGTCCCCCACTACCCGCGTCCATTTCTGGAATCCTCGCCTGTTGCTTTCCTATTGGGTATTTTGCCATCGATTCCGCTTTCCAGAAAGAATCCCGCGTTCCATTGGCCAAAACGTGCATTCTACCCCATCGGATGTATGTACCCCACTGTTGTACCCCATTGGATGTTCCCCGTATCGTTTGATGTGCCTCTTTGGTCTTGGTATTCGGACAAGAGGCTGAATTCCATGAGTCTACCCCTCTAATAGCCATTGGCCTTTATAAAGTCTCTCTACCGCTATGCTTTGACTGCAACTGCAACATGGATTTTGACAAGAAAAAGGAGCACGTTGAGCACGTCGAGTATGCTCCAAACGCTATTTCTGATGTGCCAGCTGACCTTGATTACGATGCAAATGAGGCAACTAACTTAGAGCACTCGCTCACATTTCGAAAGGCACTCAAAACCCACACATGGTCCATCATTTGGTCTATGGTCATGAGTGCCACAATCATTATGGAAGGCTATGATAATATATTGATTGGCTCTTTTTATGCGTACCCTTCGTTTCAAAAAAAGTATGGCGAAGAAATCAACGGCGGATACCAACTCTTGGGGCGCTGGCAGGTGGCACTTTCGACAGCTTCTACCGTGGGTATTATTCTTGCTTTGGTTGCTAATGGTTTTTTGGTGGAGCGTTATGGCCATCGCCATGTCATTATGGTAAGTTTGGTTCTCATGGCCGCGTTCATTTTTATCACTTTTTTTGCCCACTCGCTCACAGAGCTTCTTATCGGCCAAATATTATGCGGTATTCCCTGGGGAATATTCGCCACCATGGGCCCAACCTATTCCTCTGAAGTGGCGCCTCTTGCTTTGCGTGGTCACCTCACTGCTTATGTCAACATGTGCTGGGCCATAGGCCAATTCATTGCTGCCGGTGTATTGCAAGGTTTGGTTTCCAACAAGACTCAATGGTCTTATAGAATCCCCTTTGCTATTCAATGGGTATGGGTTCCACCTTTATTCATCTTGACTTATCTCGCGCCCGACTCACCCTGGTGGTTGGTTCGGAAAGGGAGAATCGAAGAAGCAGAGAAATCTTACAAAAGACTTACCCACAAGAGTATTCACGATCGGGCAAAGCAGTCTGTGGCCATGATGATTAGGACAACAGAACTTGAAAGAAAGCAAGCTGAACTACAATCACAGGACCCCAACATGCGTGGCTGGAGACTGTACTTCCAATTGTTCAAAGGCTCCAACAGAAGACGTACAGAAGCTGCGTGCATTGCTTTTGCTGGCCAGGTTCTCAGTGGATCTACCTTTGCTTACTCTCCTTCTTATTTCTTTTCTCAGGCTGGTTTGGCTTCCGGTGAAGTTTACAAGTTGAACTTAGGCACCACCAGTATAGCCTTCACAGGTACTCTTGTTTCGTGGTTCATGCTTCCAAAGTTCGGTAGAAGAACTATTTATGTTACTGGATATGGTATCTTGGTTTGCCTTTTGTTGTTGATTGGTATTTTGGCGTTCCCAGCTGAAAATTCAGGAGGAGTAAAATGGGCCCAAGCTGGAATAACCATGCTATGGGTAGCGACGTATTCGCTCACCATTGGTCCTATGGCATTCACAATTGTATCGGAGATTTCTTCCACACGGTTGAGATCCCAATCTATATCTTTGGCCAGAAACGCTTACAACTTGACAAGTTTGGTGTCGAACGTTGTCGAGCCTTATCTTATCAACCCAGGCAATGCAAATTTGAAAGGAAAAACTGCATTCATCTGGTATGGTACTGCACTCCCAACGTTTATTTGGAGTTACTATCGCTTGCCAGAAACCAAGGATAGAACTTATGAAGAGTTGGATATAATGTTCGAGAGAAATGTTCCTGCAAGAAAGTTTGCTAAGTATGACATTTCTGGTAACGATGGGCTTGGGGTCAAAGAGTCGTATGAAGAGATTGCTACGAATTCTAAATAGTTTTATAATTGAAAGGAGTGATGATTTGCCTTAAATGTAGTGATTAGTTATTGAAGGGTCTCTAGGGGATTGTTAGGTTGACCATACGGGGAAATCTGGGTGTATCCCAGTTCCCGGCTATGGTCACCTCCAGATAAGCCACAATGCCTTATCTGGCACGATTTACCGATAAGCTTCGCTGTAGGAGATAAGACTCATACCCCTATTTTCTACGTCTATAAGAATCCTAGCTTCGTGTTGTAATTGGAAGTCAGGAACCAAGAAGTTCGTACTAGAATATACACTACCAATTGTATTCAGAACCTAACATGGATTGGGTGTATTGGACTACGAACTTAGGACGGCTAACCAAAGTCTTTGACAAAAATTCTTCAGACTCGGTGGGTGAGTAAATATATTAACCTTTTAGCTTTCGTATTCGGACTATCCTAATCTTTTTTTCCTTGTCTTAGATATTTTCTTCGAAATTAAACTTGTCGCAATGAATGTTTAAAATACGACTATCTCGGAGATGTTACCTTCTTTTCCAGACCTTAAATTAGTGTAATGTAACCCGGGAGTATATTATGTAATAATTACTCTAAATATAGACTGTATGCTAAAAACAATATCTTCGGCACTACACACTAGGCAAATGTATGTTTGACATGTGGATAAGTTCAGGTGCGACATTCTCAATTTCACGCACAAATGGTCTAAAACACCAAAAAGCAATAGATGTAATCTACGAGAAAAAATCGGAAAACAAAAAAAAAAAACAAGAGGCGTTTCCTTATACAATCCCAACAGAGTAAGCATCATAGTGTACAATACACGAGAACAGATCCGGCTCTCTTTCTAAAGAATGTTGTCTAATACCATTGTTGAGAACTAGCAGTGGTATATACACACTGAACTAAAATTCTCTATTACTAATTCCTATGACAACACGGCGCCCTAACGGTACGTAAGATGTCATTACATATACATATCACCGCGGACGCAACCCTAATGCATTTGCATTAGATCTTCCTGTCACCATTGGATATATTCCTGACAGTGAAGTAAGTGCATGCATTAAACAATGGTTGCAAGGTGCAACGGCACGACAGGTGCACAGCAACGTCCTGCCGGTGCAGCCAACTCATCTCTTAAACGCCGTCCTATCATCTTAGACGAAGGACACTTCATATCTCCTCTCAAGTATATAAGATCACCATTTTTCCCTCTAGGATGGATTCTTCTCTAAGGATCATCCCCATCCCGATATATCAATCCCAATACACTTGCTACTCAAATGTCCAACACCTCTGACTCTATTGAAGGTTCCACTCTGTCTGAAGTCTCCTTCAGAGACTCTCATGGATTGATCTCTGGTTTACCAGCAAGAAGCCAAGGTGTGCATAGTGCTGCCACTACTGTACAAAAGGTTTCACAACCATAATTCCTGTATACTAACACTGTTCCCATATCAAGACTTGAGGTAGCGAGAAATCACATTCAAGAGCAAAATGTCGAAAGCTTTTCAGCCCGTGAGCGAGGTGCTCACCAGCAAACATAAGAAACAGACATTCGAAGAGATTTATGGGGAGCCAGAAAACTTTCTAGAGATTGAGGTATGTTGAAACGTGCAGCCTGTCACACACGCACGGTACTAACGAGTTAGGTTACAAACCCTCGAACCCACTACGGCAAAGAGCAATACACAGACTACGAGATCATCTGCCGCACCAACATTCCCGCATTCAAGAAGAGACAGAGCAGCGTGCGTCGCAGATACAGTGATTTTGTGACATTCCGCAAGATGCTTGAAGAGGAGTCCACGCGGGTGATAATTCCTCCGCTTCCAGGCAAAATACTTCTCACACTGAACAAGTTTAATGACTTGAATATTGAGAACCGGAGGCAGGGGCTCGAAAAGTTCCTCACGATTGTGAGCGGCCATCCGTTGCTCCAAACAGGCTCTTCCACGTTGGTGGACTTTATCCAGAATGAGAAGTGGACGCCGAAACACGTATACTACTGAGGAGGCGGGACCTTAACTACCACAGTAGTACCACCACGGTAGCATACCCAGTATATATATACCAGATGGCACATCAATACGCACTCGAGAATAAAAGTCATAATGTACATGTATTACTTGGTAGTATGGCCTTGTGCAAGTACGCGTGAGTGAAATTTGTCCATTACGAATCTGGCGGCAGTCGCGCTGGAACTTCGGTCTTTCGGTTTTATGTTCCAGCCAACTTTTCGCTTCCGACACTGCCATGTGGTGATTTGGGCCGAGGCGTGCACTGCTCAAATTGTCCCCAAAGTCCCGTCCTATAACGGTGGAGAGCCTGGGGACTGCACATTGCAGATCTTTGTGGGGTTCGAATGCTTCAAACTCCCCTTAAGTCCCTCGGGGTTTATGGCTGTCTTGCTACTTTTGGGATTTGGAAGAGATGGTGGCCAAAAAACTCAATAACAATGGGTTCCTGGCGCTAAAACCAGCGTCCAGATCTTGCAACATATGGGCCCACCAAATTGACACCCAAAGTGGCCCATGCGCATACCGAGTTTCGGTGTCGGACTTATGCACAGTCCTGCACGGCCCCGTTATGCCATTGGCGGACCCCAGCATGGGTGAATTACATGCAAGTCATGATCAAACGGTTGGCCCCAAAAATCGGACATTGGGTAGTGGCAGAAGCATGAGAAATTGGCATAGAGACACGTAATGGCCCCGCCTGGCTCGAAATATGCAATAAGACCGAAAGAGTGGAGCACGCCCAAACTCCAATGCACCATCCTGCTCCCCGTGGTGTTACTATCCTTCCCCCCTCACTATCACACATCTGTCTTATATCCGTTTTCCCCACAGCACACCCACCCCCATGCATGGGGTATAAATACGGGGCCATTTTGCTCCTTGTCAATTGTTCACTAACATCATCTGTTAACAACAAAACAACTCAAAATGTCTATCCCAACTACTCAAAAGGCCGTGATCTTCGAAACCAACGGTGGTCCATTGGAATACAAGGATATTCCAGTTCCAAAGCCAAAGCCAAACGAATTGTTGATCAATGTCAAGTACTCTGGTGTCTGCCACACTGATTTGCACGCCTGGAAGGGTGACTGGCCTTTGGACACCAAATTGCCTTTGGTGGGTGGCCACGAAGGTGCAGGTGTCGTTGTTGCTTTGGGTAGCAACGTCAAGGGATGGAAAGTCGGTGACTATGCTGGTATCAAGTGGTTGAACTCCTCTTGTAACAACTGTGAGTTCTGCCAGACCACCAACGAGTCCAACTGTCCAGATGCTGACTTGTCTGGTTACACCCACGACGGTTCGTTCCAGCAATACGCTACTGCTGATGCTATTCACGCTGCCAAGATTCCTCAGGGAACCGACTTGGCTCTTGTTTCTCCAATCTTGTGTGCTGGTATCACCGTGTACAAGGCATTGAAGACTGCCAACTTGAAGGCTGGCGAGTGGGTCGCTGTCTCTGGTGCTGGTGGAGGATTGGGTTCCTTGGCCATCCAGTACGCCACTGCAATGGGTTACAGAGTTGTTGGTATTGACGGAGGTGCTGAAAAAGGCGAGTTTGTCAAGTCTTTGGGCGCAGAGGCCTTTGTCGACTTCACGCAATCCAAGGACATTGTTGCTGACGTCAAGAAGGTTACTAACGGTGGACCAAAGGGTGTTATCAACGTTTCTGTCTCCGAGAAAGCCATCAGTCAATCTGTTGAGTACGTAAGATCTACTGGTACCGTTGTTTTGGTCGGTTTGCCAGCTGGTGCCAAGGTCACTGCTCCTGTGTTCGACTCTGTCGTCAAGTCTATCAGCATCAGAGGCTCTTACGTTGGTAACAGAGCCGACTCTGCTGAAGCCATTGAGTTCTTCACCAGAGGCTTGATCAAGTGTCCAATCAAGATTGTGGGCTTGTCTGAATTGCCAAGTGTCTACAAGTTGATGGAAGAGGGCAAGATCTTGGGCAGATACGTCGTTGACACTTACAAGTAAGCGAGCAGGCCCGCTAAAATGAGTTTTTATGATTTTGAATGAAACGCTGAATTTAAAATAAAAAGCTGAGTAGACTACAATTCGGGAACCTAGAAAGTTCAATGAAAGTCATGCAACTTAGACTTTACGCCCTGGATTAGAACAAATATTGCTCGACGTATGTTAAACGTGGAGCTAAAATTTTTCTTTGTTTCTATTGTGACTCCGCATATTGATAATCTACACCTACTGCAAAATTCGTGTACGTTGAAAAGTATGACCGTAGATCCCATATAAACCATATTTTATGAGCATCATCGATCGGCCTCAGACGCCTTGAAAAGTTAGAAGAGCTACATTCGATAGGTATTGAACGTGACAAGTTATATTTATCCATAGCAGAGACATATACTCCAATCTCACTTAAAAGGCTCTGTTCAATGGCGAGAGAATTGGCTTACCCTTGTAGAATTGGATGGTCTTAGCAGCTCTCTCAGAAACGCCTTCTGGAGTGAACTCGAAGAACTTGAAAAGATCATCAGCCTTACCCGAAGCACCAAATCTGTTCAAACCGAATTGCTCATGAGAGTACTTGGACCAACCAAAAGAGGACATCACCTCTACAGACAAGATTGGGACGCCGTCTGGTAACACAGACAATCTGTAGCTTTGAGGTTGCTTGTCAAAAGTCAAGAAGTCTGGCATAGAGACAACGCTAACCTTGAAACCTTGTTCACCCAAGACCTTGGCAGCATTCACAGAAAGCGAAACTTCAGAACCAGAAGCAACAATAATGATGTCTGGGTTCTCAGCCTTAACCAAGGTGTAACCACCCTTGGAAGCAGCCTCAATAGAAGAGCCCTCCAATTGAGGCAAGTTTTGTCTGGTCAAAGCGATAACGTGTGGGGTAGAGGTAGACTCAATAGCACTCTTGTAAGCGGCAGACACTTCGTTACCGTCAGCTGGTCTCCAGACAGACAAGTTAGGAATAGCTCTCAAGTGGGCCAAAGTCTCGATAGGCTGGTGAGTTGGACCATCCTCACCCAAACCAATCGAGTCGTGAGTAGCGACCCATGTAACTGGAAGGTGGGACAATGCCGACAATCTCACAGCACCAGCTGCGTAAGAGACGAAGTTCAAGAAGGTACCACCGTAGTTCTTGTAGTTGGCACCGAAGGCAGCGATACCATTCATGATGGCACCCATACCATGCTCTCTGACACCGTATCTGATGTAACGACCAGAGTAGTCACCCAACTTAGTGCTTGGGTCTTGGAAGTCAACAGAGTTGGCGGCCTTGGTCAAGTTCGAACCAGTCAAATCAGCAGAACCACCAATGAGTTCTGGAACCTTAGGGAAGACGCTAGACAAGAGCATTTCGGACAACTTTCTGGTAGCCAATGGCTTGTCTTCAGGAGTGTAGGTTGGCAAAGCCTCGGTCCAGTTTTCAGGCAACTTACCATCCAATCTTCTAGCCAATTCAGCACCCTCGGTAGGGTATTTGGCCTTGTACTCATTAAAAGTCTGGTACCACTTGGCCTCAATTTCCTGGTTGGCCTTAACGTGCTTGGCATAGTCCTCGTACACTTCTGGAGGAACCTTGAAGGTTTCTTCTGGGTTGAATCCAAATTTCTCCTTCAATTGCTTGATGTCGTCAGCCTTCAATGGCGCACCGTGGACACCATGAGTACCAGCTTGAAGAGAACCAAAACCAATGGTGGTGGTCAATCTGATCAAAGTTGGCTTGTCGCTGGCCTTGGCTTGTTCAATGGCCTTGGCAACACCATCCAAGTCGGTGTCACCGTGAGAAATTTCAAGTGTGTTCCAGCCGTAAGCATGGTAACGCTTGATGACATCTTCAGTAAAGGCAACGTTGGTAGAACCGTCAATGGAGATCTTGTTGTCGTCCCAGAAGGCAATCAAGTTGTTCAACTTCAAGTGGCCAGCCAAGGAAGAGGCCTCCGAAGAAACACCCTCCATCAAACAACCATCGCCCAAAAAGACGTAAGTGTAGTTGTCAGAGATGACAAAGTCTTCCTTGTTGTAGGTAGCGGCAAACTGCTTTTGAGCAATGGCCATACCAACAGCGTTAGAAATACCTTGACCCAAAGGACCACTGGTCACTTCAACACCTGGAGTGTCGTGCATTTCTGGGTGACCTGGGGTTTTCGAGTTCAACTGTCTGAACTCCTTCAAGTCATCAAGGGTCAAGCCGTAACCGTACAAGTGCAACATGGAGTACAACAAGGCACATGCGTGACCATTGGACAAGACAAAACGGTCTCTGTTGATCCAGTTGGGGTTTCTTGGGTTGAACTTCATTTGCTTGAAAAGTGCATGGGCAGCAGGAGCCAAGCCCAAAGGAGCGCCCGGGTGGCCGGAGTTGGCCTTGCCGACCATGTCAACGGCCAACAAACGGATGGTGGAAATAGCCAATTGGTCAATGTCAGTCATGTCTGTAAGATGGGGATGGAGTGGAAAAAAAGAGCCGGTGCGGGCGTTTTAATAGTGGGCGAGGGGGATTGCTGGGTCGGAGATTCCTGCAGAGGACCAAGTTGGGCCGTTTCGCACGTGCGTGGGGGCACTTCCGGTCGTGAAGAAAGGCGAGAGTGGCGATAACCGGGGCAAGATTGGGCGAGGAAAAGAAAAGCGTGCGATTTCCGAGGGCACGTCGGCACCGTGCCGGAATTGCGTAAGCATGCTGATTTGCACGGTCTAGACGGATTACCAACGGTGACTCCACGGAGCTGGAGTCTGAATTCCGAACCTCTCTATAATGTGGTCACGGCCGCACGGAAGAAGAAATATTTATACGTGGATTGTGTCATGACCTTCCCATATAAACATAACCGATATTTTCACTTTTGTGTGGGTGTTCAGATCGCCACTATCTTCGGCCAATTGGCCTTCATGCATGTATACAAAATATGAGTAATGAAGCTACTTGACAGCATAAGCACATCGCAAACATACAGCGCAATCTTCAAGTGCCTAGTATCAAAATATAAAGCTTGGAAGATGTTCAGACCTACCAAAAAATGTGTTTCTGAATTCAATCCATGCCTTTTGCCAAGTGGCATTTGGCCATTGTTTGATGGAAAATGCGGCTACTTTATCTGATGCGGCCCCAGCGACTATTAAACACCGACCCAGAAAGACCCTGAAAATGTCAGCTAAAAGTGTAACGGCCCAAAGGACACTAGCCTTCTGGTTTGAAAGCTCTTTTTCCGTTTTGGATCTCGTTATGTAAGCCAGATATGCAGCTAGATATCACGACATGTAAAGTAGCTATGCATATTTGAAAACCCATATTAAATGCCTCTTGAATGTGCCCACTCAGGTAATCTCAAAAAGTTCATCTTCGGAGTCATAGATGTACTGTATCTTTTGAGCCAGAGAAATTAAAGCATTCTTTTTGTGCCAATGTATTCAGCCGCACGGCGATCTCTTTCCCCAGAGCGGAAGGAGACCGAAAATGACACCACAAAAAGACATGGCGAAAACAAAAATAAGGTTTCAATAACCAAAAACATCTAGCAGGATGAGGCATGCACGTTTGTCCAGCGACTCCTGCCGCAAAAAAAAACTCTACTATTTTTAACTCACTGCCATGCTTCGATCTTTAAAATATATAGCCACTCGCTCTTGCTTCAGTCATTGAAGTTGGCCTTAGCATGTCTGAATGACATAGTCTCATTTATTGTTTTCTATTCTTGCAAATGATCAAACGAGCATGTTCAAATTAACACCAGGTTATAAACTATTCCGTCAAAATACCAGTCAAAGCTTCATTCCAGGGGACGATGCACCCTAGACTGATGCGAAGCAAGGAGCATCTAGGGGAGTTTCTAGGAAAGCACGCACGCGACATGAACCCCACGCATTAGCCTTCCCAATCAAGCAAACTGCAATAGCCACCTCCGATCGGAGTTCGCATGAATTTCCGCTCGCTCCACGAGGAGATAATACTGTATGGCACTTCAAACGATGATCCGATGCTCGCATGATTTCCATTCCTTTCCATGTTACAGTTTCAAAGTGTACTAGGACTCCTCAGACGCAGGCGGCGGGTGTCGCGTCGACGTTGCCCGGTGGATCTCACCAATGTCCAGATCCACATCGGAATCGGGCTCGGACTCTTCGTGTGGCCACGTTTTGCCCTCATCTGCCATCTCATTCTCGTCTCCCTCTTCAATGCGTGCCACATTTACCAACCGGGGTTGAGCTTTGATGGCAGTCATAGTGCCCTTCGCAGGCGGCCCATTACGGTCAGCAACAATCAGGGCACCGTCAATGGCATTGAAGTCGGAAAAAATCAGATCGCTCTCGTAAGAGTAGATCGACCGCGTGTTGTTTTTCAGAGGGCGAATGGTCACGCCAGGAATATATGCTACTGGTAAGATATTCAGCGCATTGGTGGTGGAAATGGTGGTGGCTATAGATGCGCGCTTGGCCAAGTCCAGGTTGGCGTATTCGTGCCCTGCGTTAGTAGTGTTCGCACTGATTGCACCGCCCAGTACGCTTGCCGAGGCATGCGAGTTGGCGCCATTCTGGCGCGGTACCGAGCCACTCGAATGAGTGCGCAGGGCGTAGCGCGCTTGTGGCCGCATGAACAGATCGTACGCCAGGAGCCGATGATTCTTCGGCACCAGCACCGACAGATCTGATTTCGTCATAGGCGGTCTTTCGGCTGCTGACGGAGAATCTTCAAACTTGTGTTCGCCATCGGCGGCATCAATGTCGCCCAAAGCCAAGTCTGCATGTCTCTTCCGTTTCGGAAGATAGAGATACTTGTAGTACAAAAAGAAACTCACAAGTGCAGCCACAGCCACTCCTCCAACTACACCACCGACAATACCTCCAATGGAGACTTTGGAGCCCAGGTTAGAACTAGAGTTGACACAGACATACTGCGCACACAGCGTCGGTGTCCGAGCACGCTGGTAACACTCCTGTCCAGGCGGGCACAGTGGACAAGAAACTTCAGTTGGACACACAAGGTTTCCGCTAGCGTCTGTTTCGTCTGCTTGAGTGGGTGTTGGCAGGTCAGCACGCGGATATAGCTCGAGGGGAAGCGTCGATGTTAATGTCAACAGAGATGCTGGCGTCAGAATATACAGCATATCGTGGCTGGTTGTCTATTTTGATGATTGAGCGGAAAATTTCAGTAAAAGTAGTCGACTCTTGGATACCAAGCAGGATGGAGAGAACCAAGAAGGATGGACGTTTCTAAACTCAGCAAGATCAAAAACCCGCCAGATATGAAGGTTTGTGCCGTCTTAGGAAAACGAAAGCAAGGCAAAACAACAGGGAGAAGATAAAGGAAAAAGCTGTTACCCAGATATCAGATCGGGGAACAAAAGCAGACTCGCGTAGTTCGATGACCAGAGACGGATAAGGCGCGAAGATGAGCAGTCGAGACGAAACCAAGTCACGTAAAACGTAGCAATGTCAATATAAGAGAGCACAAAAGGATAACCCACACACAGAAAACCTGGGGAAAAAGCCACGCAAAAGTCAGGAAAAGAGGCAGGAAAACGACGGGGCGAAAAAAGTCGTGAAGTCCTTGAGGATCAAAAAGCCTCTTCAGGCGTTTAGCGCGGCGTGCGCGGCACCATATATGCAGGAACCATCCGATAGAATGGCCATGGCGATTTACGAAAGCGAAGAGTTAGAGGGGTCTAACGGCTCTGCAATGAATTTTTATCTGGAAGTTCATTTCTTGAGCCTATAAGCAGCTGAAGTATATCTTTTTCGAGCTCTGGCAAAGGGGAAGAACCGACTTTTTCTTGTGTTTTTCTTCAGGTGTCAGAGGAGATCGAGCGTATGTCGTGCAGGCCGTTTGTTTCCAGTAGTGTATCTAACATGAGGCTAGTGTAAGGCCCACAATAGAAAGAATGTCCCAGGAGAACGAACATTAACGAATATGGGCGAAATGAGACATACAAAAAGATCCGATATAGAGGCCACCCCTAATGGAGATTATCTTGCGAACTGTCTAAAGCTTTTATTATTCTATTCCCGGCTGGCGTCTCTCGTCTCCTATGCGGCCATTTCTACAGAGTCTATTTTTACACTCGTATCCCTGCACACCCCATTAAAACGTTTGGCGCGCGTCCGCACCAAACTCCACCTGGTCTTTTCGCCGAATCAACCAACTACTCTGGTAATCAAAGTACTTGTAGCCCTCGTCTTTGCGCGCTTTCCCTTGCTCTTGCGAAAACCACTGTTTGGTTTCGCGATGGAAAACCCACCCACGCCGGCTCAACTCGCGTGCTGCGTTCCACTTCGCCAAGTTATCCTGACCCTCACTGTAGTAGAAACAAAAGAACAATGTGTCCGTGTCAAACTTGCGCATCACTCCTGCGCTGTGTAATTCGTACATAGGCTCTTGAGGGTAGTCCACAGACGATGGGTGGACGTTCGTTGGGTTGTAGTGGCGAGGTCGTTCCAGATCAAACGAATCGGGACAATTGAGAAGTGAAGTCTCCAACTGCAGACTGATGGCCGAAAATGGCAATGGGCTATGCAAGCGATGCTGGGCGAGCTGTGCCGGACGGCCGGCTGTGTCCCAAAACGTCTTGTTTTCATTGTTGAGCACAGGCAGCGGCGAAGCCAGAGCAACCGCCTTCTTACGTGGGCTGGCCGCAAGTCCAGGTGGAGGTGCGCGTGTAGGGGTGTCACGGACCTCTCTTGCTTCAACTTTGGTTTCCTTGGCTTCGGGTTTTGATTCTTTGGCCTCGTTTACTGCCCCACTTCTTGACTCACTTCTGGCCTCCTTTACTTCAACGCGGGTTGCTTCGGGCTTTGGCTGTTTGAGTTCAACTTTTGGCTCCTTAGGTTCTGCCTTGGTTTCCTTGACCTTGGTGGCCTCTTTGTCTGACACTTTCACTGTCTTCTCCTTTGGCTCACTGGGCAGTGGCGTCTCCTTGCGCGGACTGTCATCGACAGTAAAAGACTGGCTCAACTCCAAGCTCTCATCTAGCTCCAAAACATCGTAAAACTCATTAAACTCCACAAAATCTGCCGCCTGATTATTCTCCACATAGTAATCTAAATCGTCACGAATCTCATCGATTCTTTCAGGCTCTAACTGGTCGTTGTCCAAGTTACGAAGAACAAGCTCTAAGCGCCCCACATGGAAGTTGTTGCGCTCGATTTTCTCGGTCAAATCGTCGATCGCTTGTTGGATGCCGCCCAGTTTCTTTTTATGGCTATACTGAGCCAAATCCGCCGACAACAACTCGTTTTGTCGCTTGAGCTCTTCAAGTACATCTGTAATATACCGCGTTGCCTCTAGCTTCTTTGCTTCATCTAAGCCACGTGCCCCAAGTTTGGCCTGCAACTCTAACCCTTCATTGGAAAACTGCTTCATTTTCGAAACTTTCTCCATCTCTTTGAAGCGCTCCATTGCATTTTCAATGCGGCTCCGGATGTCCTGAAGCACATTACGGTCGAGCTTGTTGCTGCTATCACCCAGCCACTGCTTGACCTGGTCACGAGACCGTTGTAACTTTTTGATTTCCTTGCGCAAGTCTCCTTCCAATTTGTCCTTCTGATTGGTGTTTTCGGTCAGGGCAATTTTGTCATGAATGTCATCAAACTGCTGTAAGCCTTCCGCGACTTTTTTCTGGAGCTTGTCGAACTCCTGCTGTAGTTTGCGCGTACTCATGCTTTGGTGGAAGTAAGTTAGTTGAAGTTGGTTAGAAGTGCAGGTGAGGAGTAGTTGACACACCGTCTGCAGGATAGAACACTTGAAAGTCCCAACGTCCCAATAAAGGGCATTAGACCGCTTTTCAATTGGATATGAACATCAATAGAATAGGAAATGATGAAATTGATTTGAATTTTTTCGGTTTATGCAAAAAAAAAAAAAAAAATAGGGTCTGAGCAGTTAGTGCACGGAATATTCTTTACGAGAAACTCAAAGTAAACAAGGAATTGTCATTTTCCCGGTGGATTGACTCCTAACTCACTCATCAGCATTGTAGTGTTTTCTTCAATTGTTACATGCTTAAACAATATATGGGTATCTAGATTCTGCGCATACCTCTAATCATGCTTACAATGATGGCTCGCGTTTTAACCTATTTTCGAATGTTTATTTGATCAGTTTAATCTTCCCAGGCGACCTGACGAGCCCAAAAAAAGTTGGTGAAGATTGATAAAAGATGATTGTGAAATCTCTTTATTCACGGCCGTCCTGTAAGAATATTCAACTTGTAGTGAACACTTACTTTCATAATATTGCGTGGAGATAAATCTACTAGCTTAAAATGTGAACAAATGGCATCCTGACATAAGCGAAGAGCCAAAATCGCCTTCTAAATATACGTGTGTCTAAGCTCCTAACTCTTGGCGCAAGAATTCTTCGCTAAAATGACTAATTTGTCTAAAATTGACCTCAAAACCTTCTCGACCCCCATAGTAAGGGTCCAGCACAATGGTGTTGAACTGGTCATCTGTTTTCCACTCGCCAAACATGGCTACCCTTGTTTTGCTTCCCCTCGGTTTCATGTGCATTAAATCTTCCTTGTTGGACTGGTCCATTGCAATCACATAATCAAAGCGAGAAAAATCAGCTGGAGAAATTTGCTGTGCCAGATGATTGACAGGGACACCGTGTTTACGGCAAGTACTGACAGACCTTGAGTCAGGGCTTTCGCCAATATGCCAACCGCTTGTACCAAAAGAGTCTATCACATCGAAACGATCATCATATCCGAGTTCTTTGACCTTATGCTTAAAAACGGCCTCCGCCATCGGAGATCGGCATCTGCTTGTTAGTTTAATTGATGAGGCTCAAATAAAACAATTAACATACATGTTTCCAAGACAAACAAAGGCAACAGAGATTCTATTGTCGCTCATACTGTGTTAAGATACTCGTTTGAAGTAGTTTGCATGTGAGTAGTGTGCACATTAGATAACACTTACATGAAGAGATTTAACTATTAGACATTGTAAAATTGAGGACTATTAGTGGCAGATGAAAGTAGTCGCAAATAACAACTAGCAGTAAATCAGAGGTAGTAACAAAAGAAAATTAGTTGCAGGCAGAATATTAGTGGTAAAGCTCAAACACGTGTTTCCTGAAGCCCTTTAAACCAGGTGACCCATTCGTCATACTCCAACGGCTCATACATCCGCTTAGAAGGATTGTTACTATCTTCCACCTTGACCTTTTTCTCATCGAAAAGGAGATCGATATCATCATCTTCATTTCTCTCACGCTTAATTCCGTTCTTGGTGGGCGCCGATGCACCAAGTTCCACAATCCGCGCACATTCATCCAAAATACTAGGACCAGAACATTCTTTGATGACATTGACTTGACAAAAGGCCGAAGCGATAGCATGTGGCTTAACATCACAATTCCAGCGGCCAGTGTTACTGGGTGAGAGTGGAGATTGCGTTAAAGCTTTTAACTCGGTAGTTGATCCATTACCGGCACTCGTTCCACCAGAGCCTTTGTCCTGCTCATCATCACTGATATCAAGTAAGTTCGACAACGCAGCAAAGAAAAACTCTTTTGGATTAGTTTTGGATAGTTCTCTCCTCTTCATCAAATCTGAATCCATACCATTGGCACCGAACATTTCACCACCAAAAGGCATCTGTTCATTTTGAGCGGCAAGTTTAGCTTCCAGATTAGGAGAGACACCCATTGGAGTACCTTTGTTACTCTGCGCGGGGGGCATTTGAGGAGTCGAGATACTGTGAGGAGTCTTGATTGCATTCGCCAATGACGCTGGTGTAGGAGCTCCTGCTGCTGGGGTACCAGCACCTTTAGTAGACCGACGGCGATTACCAGCCGCAATGTTCTTCTTGGTGGGCACCTTGGCGCCCGATTTCCCGACTGCTTGCGGTGGAGCTTGCAACGGTGACCCCGCTTGAGGCATATTGGGACTAGAAGCAAGAGGATTATTCTGCGAGGCCATGGTACCACTATTATTTTGCCACTCTTGTTGAGGGATCGGGGCACTAACTGAGTTTCTCGCAAAATGCTGCTGTTGCTGTTGTTGTTGCTGCTGCAGTTGAGGGATTCCCATTTGACCGCTTACACCTTGCGCATTGAATACTGGTTGCGAATGAGGGACAACATTATGTTGGACCCCAGGCGGGTTGGTAGGAAAATGTCCCTGGGGACCCATCTGATTCATCCGTTGAGGTATTGGTTCATTCTGCGGGCGATTAGGGGGATGCTGTTGTTGTTGCTGCTGCTGCTGTTGTTTTGACAACGTGATTTGCTCCTTGACATACTCAAAGTAGCGCTGGTACTGAGAGCGCAATTTTTCAAGAAGATCAGGTCCAGCAAGATATATACCCCGCTGAAGATTCTCCATTATACTTTTTGTCATGTGTTTCATCTGGATTAGTCTCTTCGTTCCTTCTAGGTTCCGTGTAAGAACGTAGAAATAGCTAAGCACACTATCCACATTAGCATATTGCTGTGAGATACGAGCCATTGTTTCTTTCACTTGTGCTTTGTCCTTTTCAGATAACAACATTGTTACATCCTTCAACTGTACATTGTTTCGCGAGACTTCTTCAAAAAGCGATCTCAATTTCATTTTCATCTCATCCGTAAGTGGTGGCATACCACCAGCCAAAGCTAGTGGAGCTGGTCTCACTTGAGGCACTGGATTAGCAGCTTGTACAGGAGCCGATTTCTGTTGCATATTCTGAGCGTACATCTGCTGGTTCATTGCACTTGCAGGTACAGGCTGCTGCATCACCGGCAGCAGTCGAGGTCTCCTTTGGCCCTGCGGTTGTTGTAATTGTTGGGGTTGTTGTGGTTGTTGTTGCTGTTGTTGCTGCTGAGGTTGGGATTGAATTGGCGCTTGTGGGAAACCGCCTTGACCCATAGACAGCGGAGGGACCTGAGCCTGCTGTAGAGGAGCAGGCTGAGACTGGGGTAAATTCATGGGGTTATTGATGGCCAGAGCCTTCTGCTGAGCTTTCCAGAGACTCAACTTTTGGTGATAGATGTACTTTCTGACAAAATTCTGTTTCTGGGCCTGATCCAAATTTGGTGAAATGGAACCGTTAGCTTGTAGCCGACCTAGTAAAGCCATAGCATCAGAGTTGTACTTGAGAAGATCCTGCGATGTGATCTGAATATTTGGGGTCTTAGCAGCCTGCTGCTGTTGGCCCACCGGAATGGCCTGATTAGAAGCAGGTGTTGAAATTTGCTGTTGTTGTTTAGCTTGTGGCATTTGGACACGACCCGCCGGCTGTTGCTGCTGTTGCTGCTGCTGTTGTTGCTGATTCTGTGAATTTTGTGCCTTATTAACACCAACGTAGCCATTCTGCTGTTGTATCTGAGGGCCGTGGGCGCCCATAGCATTGCGAGGAATCTGTCTGTTCACATCATTCATGGCCATGTTGCCCATGTTGCTCATACCTCCTGCAACATTGCCCATGTTTGCCATATTGTTGGAGTTATTAACATTTTTCATACTCATGTTGTTCATTCCTCCCAAGTTGTTCATGTTGTTCATCTTCATATTATTCATATTATTCATGTTACCCATATTAGCCATGTTTCCCGCGTTGGAAATATTGCCCATGTTGTTCATGTTTCCCATGTTGGTCATGTTTCCCATGTTGTTCGCAGTATTCATGTTCATGTTACCCATGTTATTCATGACGGAAACATTATTCATGTTGCCCATGTTATTCATAGACGCACTGAAATTCCCCGCAGATCCAAGCGATTGGTTATTCTCCCCTCCTAGTTGACCAACACCGTCATTACCTGCTGTGTTATTCATACGCTGAAGCTGAAGCAATTTCTGCTGTTGATGCTGCCGTAATGCATGTTGAAAATGCGCGTTATGTATCTCTTTGATAATCGGCATGGCTGAAGCAGGGATGATTTTCTTCTGGAAGCAGTCGTAGATCTGTGTCCATGTGTTCACATTAGGAGGCAAATTGGGCACTTTAGCTAATAATGCAGGCGGAATTGGCACCGTCCGAATCATGAAACTGATTTGTTGGATCTGTTGTTGTGTGGGCTGCAACAGCTGAGATGCCAGCGGTTGCAGTCGCAGAAGCCGGTTTGGTTGTTGCTGTTGCTGTTGCTGCGGCTGTGATTGCTGCTTCTGCTGCGGCTGTTGTTGCTGTTGTTGCTGCTGTTGTTGTTGCTGCTGCTGTTGGTGTTGTTGGTGCTGTTGTTGTTGCGGTACAAGATTGTTTCTCATGGGCGACATTTGTTGTCTTCCCTGATTGTAGAAATTCCCATTCTGAAGACCCATATCGTTTTGAGGAGGTCCAACATTACTAGCCATTTGGGCGTTAGGATTGTTCATTAAGCCGCTGCGCAACTGTGTCACTTTCTGCTTAATCATGCGCAAGTATTCCTCGCGAGAAGCCGATTTCATGAATGTATACTTTTCAAACTCTTGCGCCATAGTAGCGGCCTTTTGCTCATCATAGTGTCCATTTTGAATTTCCTTCAAGGTGGTGGAAAGGATCTGGATCACCTTCTGCCGGTCACTTATTCCATAAGTAGAGTGCCATGTGCCGCCCATAGGTCCATTTCCAAGATTGTTCATTGTGGGTGACTGGATAGTGATCTGACAGGTAAAACGGCAATACAAGCGAAAAAAACAAGAATTTGCGGTGCGGCGTGCGCAATATGGGAGCCAGTAGACGAAACCGTAAGATCGAGTTGAAAACGGCGCTAATGGGTATTCAGCCCTATCACTCCTCGAATGGGAATCAAGTTGAGCTAACCGCTAGAGTCGGGAGATAGCGGAATGGCCAGAAAAAGGGAAGCACTATTCTGAGCAGTAGGATTTGTGGTTTGACCCAGTAAATGAGAATAATTTCTCTTTCGAATCGTCAAAAGCCCCTCTCAGCCAAGGGAAGAAAATAGCGTATAAAAAATGCTCAAGTGCGAATATTGTGCACATCAAAACCAGGCGTTGCAAGAAAGACCCCGCGTGCTGAATACGGTATTTCACACTTTTCAGCTTGCATTCGTTTTTTATCGTAACCGTTTTGCAGAGTGATAGATTTTCGCCGAGAAATGTCAATATTCTACATTTCGCCGTCTATTTAAGGATGGAAACGCTCAGCTTTGGGGTTATCAGCCGAGTCGAATCAGCCCCGGTGTGCAGGGAAAAAGGCACCGATTCGCATGGCACAAAACGTAATACTACACCATGATTATAGCCATGCTCTGCTATTGAAATCTACGAGGAGTGCTGTTGCACATGTCTTCTGCTCTTCGTCTTTCCCTTTCCATTTTCTCATCTTTATGTTTGTCCACTGTTTCTTCTCTTCTTAGATATACAAAGCTACTTCAGCTTCTATTAACGTTTCTTTTATCGTGCATTCCGATTCACTGCTCTATACCGTGGCAAAAGTACGTTTCACCGCTTTTTTCTCCTCATACTCTCGTTGTTCAGCCTCATCAATAAACTCAGTCTCGTGGTTCAACTTCCACTGGTTCCGCTTGAATCTCAAACCTTCTGTGTTGTATCCTAACTGCTTGGATGCCTCAACCAATTTGCCACGAAGCTGTGTTTTGACCTCAACCAAGTAATTTCTTAACTTCTCATCACGTTGGCTCACTAACTCTTTGGCATTGGTCCGCATGACGAAAAACAACACCTTGCATATGAGTGAAAGATTGACAATGTTGTTGGTGATGTTTTGTTTGTTGGTCCAAATGGAAATAAATCTCATCAACTTCACGGTGTAAGAGAATGGGAGAACCAACAATGCGTCTTCAAGCTGAGTCGAACGAATCTTGAGCATGGTGTTTAAAACATACTCTTGACCCGTAACTCCAAATGCAACAAGAATCGAGTTGGGCGTAGGTTTAGTAGGCATGAATGCCCCAGGTTTTTTCGACTGATACTGCTGCAATTGCAATTCGTATTGCTCCACATTATCAAGATCTTCGACACCAATATCAAGTGCCTCCATCAACTTTTCTCCTGCCTTCAATGTTTCCATCGTTTGTTTTCTGACGCTTGCAACGCCATCTTGTTCACCTTCTTCACCATCTTCATCCTTACGTGCCGTCACATCGTCACCCTCCAAAGACTCCAAAAGCTCATTTTCGTAAAGTTCATCCATCTCTTTTTCTCTTTCTTCCTCTAAGAAGACCTGATCGTTTGTGGCGCTCCAGACTCTGATGGAGTGATCATGCGATGTAGAAACAACAAAAGAACCGTCCCTGCTAACACTAAGAGCCCAAACTTCACTCTGATGGGCAGGCAATTTCTGAATGCATTGAAACTTGTCGCCGTCCCAATACTTGATCATACCATCCTTACCAGAGGAGAAAAAGTTGTGGCTCTCTGGAATGAACCGAACATTCATAATAGAGTCCTGGTGACCAAAGATCGACTTGTGGCAATCACCAAAGTCCAAGCCCCAAATCTTGATATTTTTGTCCGCAGAAGACGTGATGATGAGTTTGTTATCAAACGAAATGTCAATAGACAAAACGGGCAACTTGTGTCCATACAAGGTCAAGAATAACTTCAACGAGTCATAAAAGACAACTTGCACGTTATTGTTTAACAACGAAATGGCCAAGAATTTCGAATCAGGAGAAACCTTTACACTCAAAACTTCGTCTGTAACCTCTAATGTCTGAGTATGTGCTAACTTCAACGAAGACACCACTGTTGAGGTACCAGCTACGATTTCCTGACTCACTTTGAAATTCCAGAACTTGACTTTCTTATCATTTCCACCAGTAACCAAAGTCTTTCCATCTGGAGTAAGGTCCATTGACCAAATGGCCGAGCCATTGTCATCCTTTGTACCACTCGAAACAAATGAAGTGTTTTCATGTGCGTTTTCAACACGGTCAATCAAAGAAGATGATGCAAGGTCATAGAGTTCTAAATCACCATTTTTGAAACCCACAACCACTAATGTGCCTCCAGGTAAGAATTTGCAACACAAGGCATAACCTCCTTCCAAGGAAAAAGTACGCAACACGTTATGACTTCTAATATTCCACACCTTCAATTCGCCATTGGAAGCAGTTGCCAAAAGCTTATTATCGTCAGACACATCCATGGCTCTGATGTCTGTTCTGTGACCCAAATTATCGATTGTGTGGGCCTTAACCGAGTGTATGTCACCGACCTGCGCTTTTCTGATTTGCTCAGGAAGTGGGATATTGTGGAACTCTATGGAATTGTTGGTTAATGCTAGGAGAAGGTCTAGGTTCTTTCTATTGGATGGAACCCAAACACATGACTTGACTTTTGATGTCGTTCTCACAGTCGTGAATGGTGTGATAAGCATGCTAATTTCCGATTCTCGGAGCGACTGCAAAATCTCATCTTCTTCAAATCCTTTGTCTTTTAATCTCTTTGTTCTCTTTGTAATACCCTTTTTTATCTCTTCACTAGAGCGAACACGGAATACTTCTGTAGTTCTGTCTGCATTCTGCAACGCAAAAATCTCATAGGTACCCGATGCATCTCTTACAGAAGTGAATCCAATATCCGTGCAACGGGCTTTACTCTGCTTCTCGAATTCTCCCTTCGATACAATCTTGGAACCATCGTCTCTGTCAAGATCTATCTCCCACACTTTCACCTGGTCTTTGCTTCCACAGGTTATAAGCATATCTTTGCCTGAGTTCAAGCCCAAAGCCCAGCATTCACCAGAGTGAGCTAAATGTGTTTCTACACATTGCTTTGACTTCAATTCCCAGAGCTTAATCAAACCGTCCTTGGAAACAGTCACAAGGTAGTCTTCCAACTCATCGTCGGTTCTTTCCATCTGGCTGAGTAAATGCATGCCTGTGATTTGACTCTTGTGGCCCTTCAACTTGAAAAGACCCTCTTCTCCAACTAAATCCCACATAATCACTGTCGAGTCAGCAGATCCAGAGACAACCCGCGTACCATTGCGATCAAACTTCAAAACACTAATTGCGGATTTATGTCCCAGAAATGTCACCATCACGGATCCAGATGTCAAATCCCAAATTTTGATAGTTCCATCGTTGTGGCCCGCAGCTAAAATGTTCGTTTGTTCATGGTATGCTAAGACAATGACAGTTGAGGGTGCCAGAGAAGTTTTTGCATTGGAAGCGCCTGGAGTCAAGTCGTCATTAAGACGAGTCATGAGTTCTCCGGTCTTGATATCCCAAATCAAAATATCCTCCAATCCGCCCAGGGCAGCCCTACCAAGGGACTTAGAAGACTGCGTAGGGGCAGGCGGAAGCCAGACAATATTTGATTGGCCACCAATAACACCAAAAGAACTTTCCTGTTCGTAACGATCGTAGGATTTAACCATGGTGATACAGTGGAGTTCGGATTCGAGTTAGGTATTTTTGAAAAATGCGATGAGGATGCGCTGCGCACGTGACCACATAATAAATCTCTCTTCAAGAAGACAGACACTACGAGAAATGAGGAGAAGCAAAAAAGAGAACAAAGAGCAAAAAATGAACGTTTTCATTAATTGGAGAGTTAAGGGAATTTCTGGCTACAGAATTATTTAAGTATTTGCTTTCATCATTTTTATTTTTCTGTTTTTCTCTCACATGGCCATATTTGCAAAGAGCGCGAGAACATAGATATACTTTCCCATCCTTTTTCCCTGACTCCCGTTGATCCGCAGACTTGACAGTCGGGAATCCGAAGATTGAGAATTTGTGTTTGCAGTTCTAGACGTAGATAAACCTGAAGAGCTGTCGGGAGTAGAATCAGTACTCGAACTAGAGAAATTAGAATCAGACTTCGAAGAGATTTTAGATGCCGCTGAACTTGCCAGGGTGAGATCCGCAGATTTGAAAGGACCAATAGACCTTTGCGGGGAATCCTCTAAACCACCCGTCCAACAGTAATTGGCAAAGCAATCTTTGCATTCTTCTGACTGTTCTTCTCCCAATCTCTCTTGCTGCCTGCGAATAATTGCACATCCGACGCATGTGGGCCATTTTCTGTCTTGAGAGTAGTTCCCACGAGAAGACACCTCAAACCCGTTTTCAATGAATTTATGAATCTCCTTCGGAGAGTAACTCATTTCATAGGTCGAAGTATTTGACTCGAACAGATGATACAGATTGGGAATATAAATAACGAGAGGAACATCAGTTGAGTTGCCTTCCAGTTCATGGTAGCCCACCAAATCTGTCAAATTTGACGCATCACACCCGAAAAAGACCGGTTTCCCGAAGAGATCCAGAGTCATAAATTCTTCCACTGAGGGGACATATGGGAAAGGAGTGCCTTTTCCTTGAGGAGAAAACTGACGTTCGTAGGTATACACTAGTGATGAGCCATTCGGCCAATTGTGTACATCAGCCGAGTTGTCATATGCAAAGATAACATCCACTTTCCGTTCCTTTTGGATAAGAGGATACAATGGAACATTTTGCATGTCTTCTCCACCATCCACTAAGTGCAAAGTTTCATCGGAAGCGATTGTTTCTGAAGCACCAAATTCACCATTGAAGAATGGATTTGGCTTGTAAGTAGCAATGTCTACGTTATTCTCGGAGAAAGGACTGAGAATCAACGTGAGCAATTTTTTAACTGCCCAGTTCAAGGTTGACGAAGATTGAACGCGGAGCAATGCCTGATTGAAAAGTGACGACAGTGTTCCCATGACAAAACCAGCATTGTCAAAGTTAGTGTAACACGTGTTGTTTTTGGGTCGACCGTTGTCGAGAGTAGTGCCTAAGAAATTGAGATCAACGAAACTGTTGAGACTTGGATCCCACGAGCCAAGTTCATACGGAGTGAATTCGAAAACAGTCGAATTCTCGTTGACTATGAGTGTGCCTGGACTTCTCCCATTGGCGACTATGATCGGAAACGGCATCAGCTGGTTCTTGAAGTGACTCAAGGCTCTTATACTTGTCCAAGTAATGTTTTCGCCTCCATTATACGTTGTATCTGGATTGAAAAATTGGTATGAAAGTGCCCTTCCCCATACATCAGTGATTGAAGTTTCGAATCCGGCATTTGCTTTGCCCTCCACAGCCGTGCGCAATGACTGGTAGTATTTCAAAGTCAGAAACACATTGATACCACTAGGATTAAAAATCAGGTTCTCAAGTTCCCAAATTCCACTATCTGGCAGAATTGCTTCTTCCACTGTCATCCAATCATTTAGAACAAGAGTTCCCACTAACCAGCTACCGCCTGAAAGCCCCGTGATATACGATGAACTCTGGAGTAGTCCGCCAAGGCCAGATTTGTTCAGATATTCATATCGATCATCTAAAGCCAACAACTCTCCAGCTCCGCTGAACATTGCCCGGTATCCACCTCCACTAAAGGCTAAGCCGATGGTAATATTATGGAGATTCTTGGTCTTCTCGATAAACGCTTGAGCATCAAAATTGCTGAGACGGGCTCTATCAGAGAGGAAAGCTGCCAAGTTTTCGTTTGTTTGTTCATGTCGCCTCGCCATATAATCCTTCTCACTTGAATGAAGAGAAGAAGCCTCTCTTACTATGGAACCCGATGGGCATTTTGTACTTGTTGGTGCATAAGTCCTAATAGTCTTAGTAAACTCCACACTACCAGATTGTACAGTAGTAACAGAGGACTGCACACTGGATGAGTCTTCCCCGTCTTCCCAGGGCCATTCAATTGCTAAGCAGCACACGACAAAAGCCAAAACTGTGATCTTCATTGATATATAGACAATGAGAGAGATATAAGAGAAGTATAATTTTCCGTTCCTCAGATATACCCAAAGGTACCCAGAAAAATTGACACCGCAAGTTGGAGCGCCATTATTGCCTAAAACGGTTAAGACATTAAATGAGGCCAGACAAGATTGATGTTAGTTGCTACACATTTCGAAATAGTACGTTCAATGATAGAGCACTGTAAGAGACCACGGAATAGTTCCACAGAAAGCTATACCTAGTCATGGAAAACGAGAGGCTGCTAGCCAACACTAATTGTCTATGTCTACAGTAAATTTTTTCGTTAAAATTTAATATCTTCACTAAACAATATGGAACAACTTTTTTTTTTTTTTCAATTTTGAAAACTTGTAAGGCTAAGCACCTCATACGTGAATTAAGCGTTGGCTGGTTCGACAGAAGTTAAGTTATGCGATTTATTTTTGCGTTCATACTGATGTCCCGCAAGATGAACAGTAGAGCTGAATAGTCATCAAGACCGGCGAGTCTCTCTATTTAATTATATCAGATAAACGTATGCTGATGAACTCTAATGTACAAAGGTATCCTAAGGATCCTTGATATGCATGAAATGAATGTATCGTAACCCGTGAAACAAGTGGAATGCTAAAGACTTTCAACTCTTTAAGCTTCCATCTCAACATCCTCTCTAACAACTTCGGCAACGCCAGCAGCTGGAGTCTCCTCAGATTCTTCGATAGCCTTTTGTTCATTGATGGCAATCGAGATAGTGTTGTCATCCTTGTTGACAGCAACACCTTCGTTTGGAATGATCAACTCCAACTCGCCGTTAGGCAAGAAGGTAGCTTTAATCTGGTCACCTTTAATGAGCTTGTCGAATTGGAAGTGCTTCTCGAACTGGATTTCCTGGTTCTTGAAGTCCTTGATCATTTCTTGAGCGTCTTCGGCGATTTCTTCATCGGATTCAGAGTCAGAATCAGACTCTTCGTCCGAGCTAGATTCACTAGATTCAGAGCTGCTGGACTCAGAATCGGACTCAGAGTCGGATTCGGACTCAGATTCAGATTCAGATTCAGATTCAGATTCAGATTCAGAGCTGGATTCAGATTCAGATTCGGCTTTACCCTCATTCTTTTCTTCATCCTTTGATTCTTCAGCGCTCTGGTATTCTTCATCCTCTTCACTGTCGGATTCTTCACCGGTAAAGTTGAACTTGCCACTGATGACAAGTTCGTTTTTGTTCTTCAAAAAGTCAACCTTCAAGTCCTCCTTAATCATGGAAGGCAATCTGAGGTTCAACTTGTAAGTGTTCTCATCAACTTCAACCAACTCACAGTCTTTGGAGTCTTTCAAGTCCTTGGTCAAGTCGACGATTTCAAACTCTTCGTCAGAATCTTCCGCCATCAACAAACCCTCGTCATCGGAGTATTCCAATTCAGCGTCTGTAGAGTCGTTGTCGCTGTCGTAACGATCTGGGAGATCAAACTTGTGTTCATAAATAGTGATACCCTCATCGTCAGAAGAGTCAGAGTCACTGACGTAGTAGTCGTATTGAGAAGCATCACCAGCATCAACGTCTTCTTCATCATCAGAAGAGGAGTATTCGGAGTCAACCTCAAAGAAAACATCGTCATCGGATTCAACTTCAGAGACAGAAACATCTTCTTCGTCGCTAGAGACAAGCTCATCAGCAAAATATTGTCTCACATCTTCAACGTCGTCTTCAGAGTCGGTGGCCAATTCCAAGTCGGTAACAGACTCGCTGTCAGAGCTGGAAGAAACACCGTCAATGAGAAGAATTTCTTCATCAGAGTCGGAGTCACTGTCAGATTCCAGGTCGAGTTCAGAGTCCGAGTCCGAGTCCGAGTCGTAGAATCTGACCAAGTCATTGTTGACATCTCTGACCTTGCCTTCAGCTTCCAAAGCGTCTAAAGCCTCAAGCTCCAAAAGATCGTTCATGTCGATGGCATCGTCAAAGTCTTCTGGAATGACGAAGACTTCTTCGTATTCGCTCTCTGGCTCAGAATCGAAATCAAACTCTTCCTCGGAGTCGATACCGTATTCTAATTGGGAGTCATAATCAGACTCGGAGTCAGAGTCGGAGTTCTGAGCCAACTCGAAGTCGTACACTTCTTCTTCTTCGCCAGAATCAGATTGAGCATAACCGTCGTATTCGCTCTCAGAGCTGGTTTCAGACTCAGTTTCAGGTTCTTCAATGTACACTTTGCTCGAAGAAGGCTGAGGGTAGTGATATTTGTGGTATCTTTGGTTTCTGCCATAGCGAGAAGAGTAATGGCCAGGACGGCGGTCGGATCTTGCGTGCTGGCTTCTTCTGGCATAACCTCTGTCTTGCCTAAGAGACTTTTTGTTGTATCTGGATCTAGAGTAAGACATGGTTGGTAGAATGTAGTATGGATATCTGATTAGAGAAACTGAAAAAGTGAGGTGGAGAGGATGCTTTATAACCGAAAAATCTACATCAAGTGCGAAGGCGAAGCGATGAGCGGTGCGGCTCGTGCGCCTTCCTCATTGGGCCGGATTGCCATCCATCTTGCAACCTGGACGCGCCTCCGTGCACCACGCGTTACGCGGGGAGCCTTCATCTTTCTAGCCATTTCTTTGGAATTCCATGGAAAATGGCAGAAGTTCCACGCCATGCACAAGTTTAAGCTGTGTCCAATGAGACGAAACCGGGGCGATTTTGTTTCTTTTATAGTGTCCCGCAGAAAGAATATGCTGCTTCCACGAGAATCCATACGTTTCGGCCGGTTTGTTTCACAACTACATGCTTCTATTAGAGTAAAATAAAATTTTTCAATTTTTTTTTTCTCATGGTACCTTGTTAGGTGTGGCAAGTTTGCATGAAAGAATCACTCCTTTCTTTTTTTTTTTTTGAAAAATTTTTGCCCTTTCGAATTTTCCATTTTTTTTTTTGACCATTTCATTTTTTGCCTCTTCGCGTAATCGTTACCCGCACTTCGTAGCCAGAGTATATAAGGAACGGTTTCCCTGCAATCCATTTTTGCACACTAAATCTCTTTGCCATTTGGCTTAGATCAAGTGTAGTATCTGTTCTTTTCAGTGTAACAGCTGAAACGTCATCATTGATGACATTTACATTTTTACCCTATTTTTGGATCTCAGGTGGTAAAGCTTGATGGGCTTGCTCACACTTTACCACACAGTGTCGTTACCATTGCACCTTCGGTTTCTGACGCGAACTTCACACTTTTAAATGTTTGCTGTGAGATCATAGCACGCACTTAAAAGAGTCCAGTTACGCACTGCTGAATAGCGTTTACGTAACCTTCATCAGTTAACGTGAATGGGTGAAAAACACTTCTCTACTATTATGCCTGCGTGTCGTGTGTCTTTGGTTTCTTGATTGATGTGAGGTCGGATTAAAGAAGATAATATGTAAGATGCAAATCTAAGAACCTTCCAGCGCGACTCTTTTACATTACCCGTAGCAAACAGTCCGGAGGGAATTTCTAATGTGGTTCTTCTCTATTTAGTCCATTTAATAAGGATTGCGAAATGTCATTTTCGCGCAGAGGGTCCTTAGATACATGACCCATACCGGGGTTAATGCGATCTCGTAATCTTTTATACTATTGATTGTTACACTATCACAAGATGAGCTCAGGCTCACACTCAATATCGGACTCCTCCATACTTGATGGAGGGTTGTTTCCGAGAATGAAACCCTCGGACGACACGTCAGAACATGACCCTTTCAGTACTATTTCTGACCACCAGAGAGATGACAATACTTCAGACTCTATCAATAACCTACGAACAATATTTCCATCAGCAACACATCCAAAAGCTGGTAGCTCTCATAGTATCGGCCAAGACCATGTGTTCCATACTGTTTTTGACACAGCAAGCGATTTTCGCTCGACCGGCTCATATGCTATCGATGATGAATCTAGAGAAGAACCCTCAAAATTATCTAGAGGTTTTTTGGGAGGTGACGAGCATGTTGACCCGTCAAACATGATGGATTTACTGTCTGACTTGGCGGATGAACATGTTTCATTAAATTCGAGTATCCTTCGCTCTATAGATAAGGAGGGACTTACATTGGAAACCTCCATAGAAGCTGAAAACAAGAAGTTTCCGTTTTTGGCACGCTACTTAGATGCTTACAAAAAACGTCATCCCGACGATCGCTCGTCGGTATTTGGGATATCGCAACTCGACGACTTCCACAAATATGCTAAGAAGTCTGAAATAGACGACGCCATAGACCAGAGAATCAAACAGAATCGCCTAGACAACCTTCTATCGATCGTGAAAAGCAACGACTTGGCAGACAATTTTTATTCTGTACAGAGTCCGGAGAAGAAAACAACATATTTCAAGGAACCATGGAAACTACGCCTTCCTTGGAATTCTGAGAAGGAAAAAGTATATGTTGATGACAGCGACATCAGCGAGCTAAGGATTGCAGGAAACTCTTATACCTCATACTCTTCGAGTACTCAGGGCTCCCAGTTTCTTCAACGCAAGTTGAAAGTTAGACATTTACAAATGATTTCTTTTGGTGGAACACTTGGCGTGGGTTTATACTTAAACAGCGGCAAAGCCTTCACAATTGCTGGAGGTTTTGGAACTCTTTTGGCTTTTGCCATTGTGGGGTTGATTGTTTTGGCCACTATTATTTCCTTTTGTGAAATGGTTACTTTCGTTTCCGTCGTTGATGGAGTTTCCGGCCTAAGCTCTAGGTTTGTGGAGGAACTGTTTGGATTTGCCACTGGATGGTTATATTTCCTAAGTTTTTCTGTGGGTCTAGCTGGCGAGGTTGTCGCATCCGTGATCATCTTGAGCTATTTTCCCAATACTAAAGTATTGACGAATGCTGGAGCGACTGCTGGATTTGTCACACTTTTCCTTTCATTCTGCATTATCAGTAACTTACTCGATGTTCGTGTCTTCGGAGAAATCGAGTATGTTTCTAGTATCATCAAGGTCATTATGACATTAATCATGATCATAGTCATGATTGTAATTAATCGTGGAGGTTTAGGTGATCAAGGTGTCATAGGCTTTAGATACTGGCAGGAACTGAAGTCTCTCTTTGATCATAATATGATTTTTGGCATGTTCAGACCTTCGTTTGATTTGTCTAGTACAGGGATGGATTCGAAAACTACTGGTGTTGGTGGGAATTGGGGCAGGTTCCTTTCAGTTCTCACTGCCATGGTTATCGTAACTTACTCATACAGTGGAACAGAAATTGTTTGCATAGCAGCATGCGAAGCGAAAAATCCCCGCAAAGCACTCCCTTCTGCTACGAAAAGAGTTTTTTGGAGAATCTTGATTTTTTACTGCCTTGCTTCGTTTGTCATTTCTTTGAACATATACGCAGGCGACCCTCGTTTGCTTAGATACTATAGTGGACTTTCGGGAGTTCCCCCTGAGGAGTTTGATCATAATTTTGCTATCCAATACCTTGGAGGGAATTCATGCAAGTCTCACTATGCTGTTTTCGCCGGGTTCGCAAACCGGTTCTCAGAGTCCCTGGACTGTGGCTCTTGCAAAGTGCCGGACTCTGTAACTGGAGCGCCGTAGCGACGGCCCAGTTTAGCATTTTTCGCCTTCTCGTGTGGCAATTCCCAACTTTACGTCTCCTCACGCACAATCTATTCTCTAGCATTACAGCACAAGGCCCCAGCTTTCTTGAAGAAATGCAATAGGTTTGGAATTCCTTATAATGCTGTCTTGGTCGCGTCAATGGCGGCCTTTTCGTCGTACATTTGTGTCTCTCAACTGGCGACCGTTGTCTTTCAAAATCTCACTAGTATGATATCCTCTTCTGGCGTTTTTGTGTGGTTTGCTATGTGTCTTTCCTATGTTCGTTTCTATTATGGGTTGAAGAAAAGACCTGATATCGTGAGCAGAGACGACAAATCCTACCCATACCGCTCTCCATTTCAGCCTTACTGTGCTATATTTGGGTTGATCGGATCGGGCGTTATGATTCTTCTCTATGGGCTTCGTTGTTTTCATGAAAGGCTACTGGAATACGTTGTTTTTCTTTTCCAGTTACGGTTCGCTCATGATATTCGCTATCCTCTACCTTGGATACAAATTGACCAAAGGAACACGCATCTTGAGTCTAGAAGCTTTGGACTTTGACTCCGGAAGAAGGGAAACAGACATTTACGTTTGGGATGGAGGCAAGGAATTCAACCGCCGCAACTTGAAAGATTGGGCTCATCGGATAGTTCACTTCATGGCGTAAAGCGCCTCATGTATTTATCTCTTAATTGCACATAG